ACTGGTCCAGGGCCAGCTTCGGCTGGTGAGAGACCCTTCACTGCAGAGAAATCGTAGCCATGACTCCAGACCCCTGTTCAAGTTTTAAGAACTATTTTTAGTAATAGTTAGAACTGCCTTGTTTGTAAGGAGTTTTCAAGGACGTAAAATCTTACCGAGAAGGGAAATTGCTAGGACTCTGAATTGCAGACTTTTCGAAGTAGGTTGAGCAGGGTGTTGTGTTCCTGTGGTTGGATAGCCACGTTCATGGCCTTGATTCCTGTGCCTCAGTGTTAGTCCTCAGAGACAAAGCAGTGCCACGGCTTAGAACAAAGCTCAGAAGACTTGGTGGGATTTCCTTCTTTTTTACTAAAATTATTTTAGCCCATCTTACTTACCCTGAAACTCCTAGGCTTCAAGAACCCCTCCATTCCTCTGTTTGAGGGTATTAAGAACTCTCAGCTCAAAAATATTGGAGCCTCTCTGGCAGGAACGATTCAAGGTGCTGAGGTGGTGGGGGCAAGGAAAAAGGCCAGCTATGTCAAGAGAACCCTGGGTTCAAACCCTCACCCCAGGACTGACAATTCTTGTGACTGGGAAAGCCCTGCTGCCTTCAGACATCGCTCTGATGGGGCTGATTTGATATCTGCCTTGAGGCTAGCTCTCCTTCTCCCTCGGCATGACGTTTCTGCCTTTGCCCGTCTAGGTCCTGTAGTTTCAGAATAAAACAGTCCCTGCTGAGACACTCGGTGTAGGATTCCTTAAGTATCCCATGCATGCCTTTCCCGAGAGCATGCCCCTTCTGGTCCTCTTATTGCAGCCAGACTCTCCAGAAGTGAGGCCTCTAGAGTGGCCTATACTCTAGCTTATACCTATGAGATTCTTTGATCCAAGGAGTTATTTAGACAGAGATGAAGAATGAGGACAACTCAGTGTCCGGGGGCTTCTGCTTTCAGATGCCACCACTGTGCAATGTCTGAGAAGAGCAGACCTTAGTGATGGCGGGCCGTCAGCCTGTGCACCCCAGGGACCAGGCTGTCTACATGGGCAAATCTTGCACTGCAGACAGCTGGTGAGGGGAGCCAGGGAGGCACAGAGCTTCGAGTGTCCCGTTTTCTATTTTTATAAGGTGAGCCTCTGGCACAGTTTCACTGCCAAAGTCAGAAGATCTTTTGAGTTCAGAAACAAGATTCCTTAGACCCCAGCCAGCAGCAGCAAGGTCTGACTGTTACAGGAAACTGTGGTAAGAGTGTGTGCCAAGACTGGGAGCAAGCAGGGAGGCCCAAAGACCCTATACTGTCCACCTGCCGGGGACCATGAAGACAGAAAGGCAGGCATCCCAGATTGTAGCTTGGGGCCACAGAGCAGATGTGCCTCAGCACCACTTGTTCTTAAGCACCTTCCCTTTTTTCTACAAAGAAAGGGCTTTTGTTTCTTCCTGTATATGGTGAATGTATAGGAAATGACAACAGAAAGTCTGGGAACAATGGAACGTTTTATTACCTCATCAGAACCCTTACAGCAGAGTGTATAATGGGCCAATCCAGCAAAAGAGCACTCCCTCCTCCACCCCCCCTCTAAAGAAGGAGAGTTTCATGTTGTTGATGTAATTGTGCCTGTTCTCTTTCATATTACTGTTTTATTTTTAAAGCAATTAACTATTTGGTTGGTTGGTTTGTGATGCTTTCCCATTGCATCTTAACCAGTTGAGTTCTGCTTTCTAAGAATTGAGAGTGCTGGTGAACAGGCGTTTAGAGCCCTCCCCATCTGTCTACTAAGTTGCCTCTAGGCTTTCAGCTGACCCAGCCCACCCTTCCTGGGCTTCCTAAGAGCCAGTTTCATCCCAACACTGTGAAGCCATTGTAATTCATGGGTTGCCCACTTCACAGATGGAGAAACTGAGGCTCAGAAAAGTTGGGTAAATCATGGATGGAGTTGTCTCTCCCTCTGACTCCAGAGTTGCCTCCCAGAGTCAGCCCTAACTGCCATTCCAAAATTTTTAGCCAATGCCAAAGTTGCATACATGGAGCATCAGGCTTTGTGTATTCCACTCATTGACAAAACAGTGCCGCACATCAGATGAGAAGAATGAGTCTTGGGCAGCTACCTGGCTGTGTCAGAGTGGGACTGTGGATCCCCAGCTTCCCTACCTCCTTCCAGCATGGCACAGTTCGTATGTGCCTGGACAATTCACCCATGGAAAATAACTGCCAGTGTCTTGACTCTCACCCTGCTGAAATGTCAGTTGCTGGGGGCCCAGAACCCTGGTGTGCTTGAGAGAACCTTCTGTGTCCACCCTGGTTAAGAAATGAGAGCATTCAGTGTGCCTCGGAGGCCCAGGCTGCTCCCAGGAGCTCTTGGCCCAGGTTCTCTCACAGACCTATGAAATATACAACCCTTCCTTGATTCCTTAATGAGGGCCAGCATAGCTGAGAGGTCTGCTAAGGGGGCAAATGACAGTGTGGCATAAAACGCTCCATCTAGAACCCTCCTTTGAAAGATTCTGTGGAAGGAGGTTGGAGCTGCACACAGCGTTCGCTTTGTGCCTTATATATTTGCTACAAAACGTCCCTTCTGTAGTTTCCAACATTTACCCAGATCAACACTGCTGGTATGTGTAATGGTTTTTCCAGAGTTCTGTCTTGGAGGTTGTTTGGCTTGCGGGCAGCCAGCCCTGTGGAGTTTGGGGAAATAGCCAAAGAATGGTGTGTCAGTTACAGTCTATAACGGGAGGTGTGTACTTTTCTGTCTGTTCTCTCTCACAGGCTTTGGGGTTCAGGGAGGGGGGAGGCCTCAGCCTTTTGCCCATCACGTACTGCCCTGTCCTGCCAACCTGGCTTTTTGTGAGAATCTCAAAGAAATGGAGATAAACCTGTGACAGAGTACGTGTTAGCTTGTACTGCCCAGACTATATATAGAGGGAGGGGGGGGAGACTGTGGAGCATCTGAGGGGAAAAAGAGGGAGTTTAAAGAAAAATGCAGTGGGCTGAAAACAGACTTTGAAACGTGGAGCCATGGCTGATCTGGGCAGGAAGAGTGGCTAGTAGACTTGGGGAGACATGAAACACATACTTCACCGCCACATAACTTTCCTGGAGGAGACAGTGTTTGCTGTAACCACATAAATGTTTCAAAGCTTAGGAAGGGAAGAGCATTAAGAGGCTGATCTGGGGAGTGGAAAGCTTCACAGACCTAGGAGGCCCTGCACACTGAAAACCAGAGTATCAAATGCATTTATACTTTCCAAATTTCTGTTTCTTTTATGTTAAAGCATTTTAGAAAGAATGTTCTTGCCTAGAGACCACAGACATATTTTCTTGATTTGAATTAAGTGTTAGTTCCTAGACTGAGTCAGTCATGTGAGTGCGCTGTGTGTAGGCATCTGCTTTGCTGGTAGAGGCAAACTTTCACTGAGTGAGACATAAATTCCAGAAGAGGGAGGGGTATTTTTCTTTAAAAGTGAAAGTGGGTTTGAAAGCAAATCCTGATATTTTTCTGAATTGGAGAGTGGCAGGGGTAGAAAGACCCTTTAGGTTCCCCCAGCTTGTCTTGAATAAAGAAGTACCCTTCCTGATACCCCTGAAGCATCCCCACCCCCATCTGGGAGTTCGGAGACCAGAGGAATATGATCTCTCACTCCCCAGCCTCAGGGCTACTTTGTCCCTCATTAGTAGGAGCCTTCTCTATGAGATGATGTGGACATAGCTCCTACCCCCAGGGCCACAGTGCCCTCCTCTGTGCTGGCATTGACTCCCTTCCCTAGAGCCACCCTCCTAAGCACATGAACTAGAAAAGGAGCAGAGAACTGGGCCACTAGAAACAGTTGAAACAAGCTAGTGGTCAGTTGAGGCTGATGGCAGACTCAACACTGAACTTGCCACTTATGGCAGCCATTGGACAAAGATTAGCAGGAGGTTGGTCTGAGCCCAGAGGACACACGTGCTCCAGCCTAAGTGGTCTGTTGGTGTTTCACTGCCTGGGTATTTTTTTGCAGCCGATCTTGTCGTGTGTTGTTGATGTTGTCACCATTGTTATCAGCCTGAAGAGCCCATGGGGTGGTTACATCAGTCCTGGGAAGGGCATGATGGGTTGCTGGAGTGGTTGGATTCCTACCTCCGGGATGAGTAAGATGGCAGGCAGGCGGACAAAAGTAGCTTTGATCAGGGCAAAGCAGCCCAGGACTGCAGCCCTTGCTGGATGGTGAACCTAGACTCCCAGGGAAGGTAAGGAAACACCAGGAGTAAACTACCCAGCAGGAGGCAATCACAATTTAAAATACCACATGGTCTCTGACTGTTGTTGAGGTAAGATTCTGGGTAGGGTTTTGTTGTTGAGGGTTTTGTTGTAGTTGTTGTTGTTGTTTGTTTAAATACATCTTACCATCCCATAAAGACTGCATCCCCATCAACTGGAGCAGGTAGCATTTTTAATCTCCGAAATTTCTAGTATGTCTTTTCCCTAGGAACTTTTTGGTTTCCATAGATTTGAGTAGGACCTGGAAACTGTAGCTTGTTTTCAGTATTGTAGGAGAAGGGCAAAACGATTTCATGACTGAATTCTTCTGTACCCCTTTCCTTGGGTCTAAATATTTATCTCAGCTTCCTCCTGTGCCTCTGGAACTGTGAAGAATGGAGAGGGAGCAGGAGCTGCAGGCCCTGTGGATTCTGGGAATAGAGACAATGGGGTCATCACTGTTTAGACGGTCAGCTCAGACATTTGCTGTGGTTGTGCAAGTGTAAGCTGTCTAACCTGGAAGCACCGTAGTGTTTTAGTGAGTTCCGTGACTCCCAAGCCAGGCTGATGGCTTGGCTGTGTGCAGTCCTTGCCTATGAGGTTCCTTGATCCTTCCAAAGGGAGGAATGGGAGTCCCACAGCCCCTGACCTATGTCTGTGAAGCCCAAGAAACCACTTGTCCGTGTGTTGAGACACTAAATTTTTTACTTTTGTTTTATCTTGTCTGTTTTTATTTCTTGTAAATGCAAAGTTGTTTCATCTGTACTTGTCCCTTTTGTATGTTGCAGGATGTCAAAGTCTTTAGTGAAGATGGTACAAGCAAAGTGGTGGAGATTCTGACTGACATGACTTCCAGGGACCTGTGCCAGTTGCTGGTTTACAAAAGTCACTGTGTGGATGACAACAGCTGGACTCTGGTGGAGCACCACCCACAACTGGGATTAGGTAGGGGACTGGTTGCCTGGCTTGCGAACAGCACCTGGGGACCTCAGTTTGTGATCAAATGGATATGCCACAGCCAAATGTAAATGTATCACCATTTCCTGCCACATGGGCAGGTGGTTGATAGCCTGTTCCTCACTCCTTCTGGCCATACTTTCTCCTAAATTTCACTCTCCTTCCTTCCCAGTCCTCTCCCTCTGAGAATCCCATCGTGGGTGCTTAAAGCACAGTAACTTCCCAAAGGTTCTTCTTCCAGAGCCTCAGAGGGCTCAGAGCCCATTGTCCCACTGGGTTATAGCTACCCATCTCAAAGCAACTCGGCCTGTTCGTAGAAGAAGGGGTCCATGGTTCCATTGTGGTAGGGACAGGGGGTCAGGATACATTATAAAGGGGTCTCATGGGAATAGTGCCTGCATGACATCTTTCTGAGGTGATGCCTACACTGCGTGTGCATGTGTACACAACCACGTGTATGTCTGTATCCTGCCTACGGAACAAGAGCGTATTTAATACTGTAGAATATTTGAAAATATGTACTAATTCCAGAACTTGATGAGTGCGATATAAATATATTTGCTCAGTTGGTTCACCTCAGGTAAAAAAGCCTGCCAGACATTCGCTTAAAGGTGTGTTTTCAACAACAGTTCCTCCCTTATTAGGGACAAGTGAAACACATTTTTCAAGTGGGCTAGATTTTAGAGAGGATTGTGTGATTTTTAAAGTTTTTAAGATTCACCATCTTTAAGTGAGCAACCCCAACACAAACTCTACTTCTGCCTTCCAGTTCTTTCACTTCTCTCCGTGTAAGAGACAGTGTGTGTGTGGGGGGGGGGGGATTTTGTTTTATTCAAACCTACCATTTAATTAAAAAAAGAACACAGCTATGTAGCTCTTTAAAAGAAAATCGTTTCTGCCACATTTCCACAACAGTCTCTTGTCAGGGTCCTACTGGTGGAAAGATGTGGTGCTGTGTGGTTTCTCTCAGAAAGCCCTGTTCACATCTGGGCATTAACCTGCCCTGCTGTGGATGAGTGAACCACAGGCCTGTGGGAGGCTCTTTGTAATGGATGTTGCTCTAGGGTGTGTTTTTTGGGTCTTGGCCTGAAGAGTGGGGCCTCACCTATGCTCAATGTGGAGCCACCCTGCCCCACATTCCTGGGTATCGCTGTCTCCATGGAAATGACTGTCTGAGGCAATTCTCTATTGAGTCTTCTTATTAGGGAGGAGGACACACAAAGGGGAAACTGTGTGTGCAAGTCTTTCAGGCAGATTCTAAAACCGATTACAACACAAAACTGTTACAATTGGGGGCATACAGATAGTACTCTGATTTATTTGGTTTCTATGTGGTTTCAGATTAAGGTTTTTTAAACAGTGCTACTGCGCTGATTTTAGCAGTTGAAATGCTGAAAACTTCCTAGTGAGCACTTTCCATAAGGCCTCCCTACTAGGAATTCTTCACCCTTGGTGTGTGAGGATAGTTGGTGGTAAGTCCGGCTAGTGTGCTAGCATAGGGTAGTTGGGGGAGTCCCATCTGTGCAAGCATGTGAGCTGCAAGTCTCTAGACTCTCCTTCCACCAGGAAACTTTCCCACAAACAAGACACGGTGGCAGAACCTAGTCCTCCCACATATATGGCAAAGAAACAGATGACTACAAAAGAAATTTTGCAAAATACACTTTTAAATGTCCAAAGGAGCATTTTGGTGCTCTCTCCCCTGAACTTGAAAATTGAAAATGGTATCGCAGCATAGGATCACTTGGTACCAGGGCTGGAGAGCTGGGACGGCAAGCACAGGAAGGAGAGGCTCCCACAGATCCTGCACAGTTGAGTGACTGAGGACCCCAGGGAAGAGCAGTGGCTTTCTAGGGCCTGTTTACAGCGCTGTGTTTGTTCCAGTCAGATGCCGCAGTGCCTTGGACACTGACACCCACAGAGCCCCCTTTGGGCCTCAGTGCCCAGAAGGAGCCTGAAGTGAGTTGGTGTTCTGTCCATTACTGTTCATTTGAAAATGCCAAGTGATATCTTTCCTCATTAAAATATATGGATAGAAAGAAAACTGCTGGCTGGTTTGGCGTCAAGGTGGGTTGGACATGCCTCCTCACCCAGCGCTGTGATTCCCAGCCGTCTGCGTGTAGGCCTGAGACTTTTTACCAGATGGCAGGGCCTAGGGGAGGGATGGTTGAGCTGGCTGAAAGGTTGCACTGAGCCCTCTGTTCTGCCCTCTGTTCTGCGTGGTCTCTCTATGATTGCTGCCTAGGCTGGTTAAGTTTCTGCTGAGGCTCTAAGTAGCTGTGTATTTTAAAAACAAAGAGGTACAATTTCCTTTGTGAGTTGTCTGATGCTCAAGCCTTTTTGTCACTGAGTGAGATATTGGTGCAGATGCTGAACCTACGTTGTAGACATTTGAAAAATAACAAATGGCCTTTGTGGAGTCCCAGCTTCTTCCACGTGAGCACATGGTACTTTTGGCATGTCCTAAAGAGCAAGCAGCCTTGGTCCGGTTTTACTCAGAACCCAGGAACAGCAGTCACTTGAGGATAACAAGTTGTAGGCAACGGCTGTGCCTAGAGGCATTCCACAGCAGCCTGAGGAAAGGTTTAGCAGGGTTTCTCCACTGTTTCCCAGCTTACTGAAGAAAGAAACAGAAGTTGACACTGCAGCTGGTTTGTATGAAGAACCATAGTGAGGCCCCTCTAGGGATCACCTGACTGGCTGGAGGAAAGCATGATCCTTTAGGGCTGCAGGGGCCAGTTTAGTAGTCCCTGGTTACCTGAAACCACAGTGGGGCCCAGTTTCCCCTGCTCCTTCCCCAGGCACCATGCCTTCCCCTCTGTACGTGCAGTGTGTGTGCAACTTCCCCGGCAGCTCTCCCAGACAGCTACTGTTGCCGATCAGCGCTGTGCAGACCGTACATATCATGAGTCTTAGCTAGGACGCTCCCCACAGGGCCCTTTGTGTTCCTCAGAGTTCTCTGGAAAGCAGAACACCTTGACTTAGAGCTAGTCACTTCATCCTTACTTAGACAGCTGCTACCCTCCCTTTTCTACTCTGTATTTTAAATGGAAAAGTAATTTATTCTGTAAAACGGCCACCCACCGGTTATGGGGTTGTTGAGTTTTGTTTTTAAGTTTGTTTAGAATATTTTTCTCCAAGTAAAACTCCTAATGGAATTCACTGATCTGTTTTTAGATGAGAAAGTCTGTTTAAAATGAATGAACTTAAGCCTGGCTGTTTTTTCAAACCATGCATCATGGTTTCAGTCAATGCTCAGGTTGTATGTGGTTATTCGCATATGTCTCAAGGAAATATAACCCTTGTGTAAACATAAGCGTTCGTGTGTTACAGGGAGAATTCTCCCAGATAGAGGTAAATGGAAACTATTCTACGTTTGCACCAAGCATGGCTTTTCATGGTCTGTGAGCTTTGTATTTGCCATGGGGATAAATTCTGGTTTTAAATGTTTTTACCAAGATGTCCCCTTCTTACAGTATCAAAATGAAGGCCAAGGATGTGTCAACCCAGAATGTGCTCTTGGTAACAGAGGTGTTCCTCACAGAGAAGTGCCCATGGCCACAGTTCTCCTATGTGGAAAAATTCTTTCTCCCAATTTTGAGACCCTTTTAACTTAAAGTAGCTTTTCCTAAGCGGCTCCCTTCCTTCCCAGGCGGGACTCAGCTCTGGCAGCATAAGAGATTCGAGGGATTTAGGATACAGCCCCTGTGTCTACTTAAGCTGTGTGTACCTGGCTGGCATCAAGTCTCACACTAAGCCTGGGGTGGACTTACTGATACAGTTTCTTCCATTGTCTGCAGTGGTTAGTTCTCTGTCACTACACCTCCATTATGACTTTTCAGGAGCTTTGTGGGAGGAGCTATGATCTCCATTCCACGGCAGAAAAGCACAGCCCCTCTGGGCATGTTATTTCTATCAGTGTGGAGTTCTCTGTGCACCACACAGGAGAGGTTCAGAGATGGGCACCATCCAGCCTTTCCAGATCATTACATAAGGTGTGCTAAGAGGTGTGTGCGTGTGTACACGTAAGTGCTCACCAGTATGCCACGCACAGTAAATGCTCTCTGTAGAATGTTCTTTTCTTTGTCTTCACACATAATGCAGCTGGTGCATCCATTCCATGATGTGGCCAGTGCTAACTAGCTAGATGCGAATGGTGAGTGCTTTGAACATCCCACGGCTTATAGTGTCTTGTCCACAGTTCCCCTGGTCTTAGTACCTGTACTAAGACCAGTACCTGTATGCCCTCTGCTCTTACAACTAACTGTCTATTGCAAGTCCTCTTTGTCAGGGGTCTTTACCTTTCCTTTGTTTCTGAGTATTTTCCAAAGTTCTGATAGTATATTCGCTGCAAGAGTTGAAATTTTGTAGTATAAGGGCAAAATCATTTGTAATGTTGAATTGACACCAAGTGCAAAAGAAATACGTGCTCATCAGCAGTAACCTGAATGTTGTGTTGTATTGAATTTTAAGGCTCCTTTTAGATACCCATCAGCATGTTCGAGAGACTTAAATTTAGTGTCATTCCTGACATACTCTTTATTCTCAGTGCTTAAAGAACAGGTTTTGCCCTGACATTTCTGTCTCCACTCACATGTGATACTTCTCCCTACAGAGCGGTGCCTGGAGGACCATGAGATTGTGGTCCAAGTGGAGAGCACCATGCCAAATGAGAGTAAATTCCTATTCAGAAAGAATTATGCGAAGTACGAGTTCTTTAAAAATCCGATGGTAAGTGTCCTTTGGGGGTTAGCATCTTGAAATCTCAGAATTTGTACTTGGGTTGAATAGAACCTGATTATCAGATGACAAGCTGAGCTTGTGCGTACATGGGCTTAAGAAGCTGATTCAATAGTTAGTGCAACAGGCCTCACACAACACCATCATAACTACATGTCACTGAGACTGATGAAGGAGGCTGTCTCCTTGCTCAGAGAGTAGAGATATTCACACTGGAACATACTGATCCAATATTCAGTGAAAGAGCTACTCATTAATCTTTGCAAATAGCAGAAACTCTCTTGATTATATGTTGGAATGAGCAGCAATCAGTGATTGGCATGCTGACATGGAGTCCTTGACGGCTCTTTTTTTTTTTTTTTCCCATTTCTGAGGTTTTTGGGGGGATGGTGGGGGGCCTGTCATGTGACATAGTAGGAAAATGGGTTTCATGGTGAGCCTTTGGTCTTGTCTTGAGTCACCTACCAGGCAGACTGACAGTCGGCTCAGGGGGACTGGTATCCACTTGTGATTGTCATCATTTCACTGTTTCTTGAACAGAAAGAAATGTAATGGGTTCTGGGTAATTCAGCACAGTAGGCTTTTTGTACATCTGCAATCACCTTGCTGTTACTTATTATTTTGTTGTTGTTTTCTTTTGGTACTGAGGTTGTATAAGTTTTGACAAAAGAATGAGAAGGACTGTTGTTTAAGATACAATATTGGCAAGTGTGCTATCTGTAATATGCTTGTTTTTCCCCCCTCTCAGAACTTCTTCCCGGATCAGATGGTCACTTGGTGCCAGCCACCCAATGGCAATCAGGCCCAGCTTCTGCAGGTACTAAGAAAAACTGAGTTCTTACTGAATAGACTTGCTGGAAATTTGAAATAAGGAGCAGATTCCTGAAATGCTCCATCTTCTAAGGAAGCTTACAACATTATGTCTACCCTGTTGTAGGAGCCATTTGCTTCTCTCTGTTTCAATGTTCTACACAATACCAATTTTGCTAGGATTTCAAGAAGTTCGAAGGAAGAAAGTTTTGCCTAACACCTTTCCCCAAAGTACTTTTAATAATTCAGGAAATGTCAGCTATACATAATAACATAACTGCTTCCATTATCTTACGTGCATATTGCCTAATTTTAAAAATGTGTTCCTCCATAGAATTTTCTGAACACGAGCAACTGCCCTGAGATTCAAGGGTTCTTACAGGTGAAGGAGGTTGGAAGAAAGTCCTGGAAGAAACTGTATGTGTGCCTGCGCAGATCTGGCCTTTATTACTCCACCAAGGGGACTTCAAAGGTAAGTTTTAAAATACTTCACTTCTCCCTGCGCTAGGTATGCTTGCTGTGACCTTTGGCTTAATTTTTAAATGGGCCTTTGACCTCTTTTATCCTAGTATTAACTTATTAATGATCAACTTGTATAATGGCTCTACCCAAAGGGACCAGTAAACTAGTCTGTCAGAAACAGGATGGCAGCACACACACACACACACACACACACACACACACACACACA